TGCCCAAGGGTCAGGGAGCTGCAGGCCGGGCACAACCCGTTCAAGTGCTCCTGTGAGCTGCAGGCCTTTATCCGCCTGGAGAGGCGGTCGGGGGGGAAGCTGTTTGGCTGGCCGGCGGCGTACGTGTGCGAGTACCCGGAAGGCTTGCGAGGAACGGAGCTCAAGGACTTCCACCTGAGCCTGCTGGCTTGCAACACGACGCTCCTGCTTGTGACGGCTCTGCTGCTGACGCTGCTGCTGGTGGCTGCGGTGGCCTTTGTGTGCATCTACCTGGATGTGCCGTGGTACGTGCGGATGACGTGGCAGTGGACGCAGACGAAGCGCAGAGCTTGGCACAACCCCCCTGGAGATCTGGGGGCCGTTCTGCAATTCCACGCGTTCATTTCCTACAGCGAGCGCGATTCGCTGTGGGTGAAGAACGAGCTGATCCCGAACCTGGAGAAGGGGGAGGGCTGCGTGCAACTGTGCCAGCACGAGAGGAACTTTATCCCCGGCAAGAGCATTGTGGAGAACATCATCAACTGCATTGAGAAGAGCTACAAGTCGATCTTTGTGTTGTCTCCCAACTTTGTGCAGAGTGAGTGGTGTCACTATGAGCTCTACTTTGCCCATCACAAGTTATTCAGTGAGAATTCCAACAGCTTAATCCTGATTTTACTGGAGCCAATCCCTCCGTACCTTATCCCTGCCAGGTATCACAAGCTGAAAGCTCTCATGGCAAAGCGCACCTACATGGAGTGGCCGAAGGAGAGGAGCAAGCGCGCCCTATTCTGGGCTAACCTCAGGGCAGCCATTAACATTAACCTGCCAATGTGCAGTGAAGCAGATGAGTAGGAGAGTCATACACCTACGAGTAATATAGGTATGTGGATAACTGCTTGATTTTTGTGCATTAAACTCTGTTAATAGTTTTTTTTTCTGTTATCTTACAATATTCCCAGTTGCAAAATATGGCACATATAGAAATTGCTATTGCTTATTCAAGCTATCCAGCTAGTCACAAGTCATCTGTAGTTGCCCATCACCAACAAAGAGAATGAGAGAGAAATTTTCATAATGATTGACCTAATTTTTAGGTTGCATTTATTTTTTACTTTTCCCATTGAAAGCTATATTTGAAAGTAATAAGAATAGTGGTTTGTTTGGTGTAATCAGGCTGCCAAGGCATACGTTTAATCTTTGTTCTGATGTGAATGCTGTGAGGTTACGATTGTAAAGACCTGTTTTCTTGGTTTTAATTAAATAATAGAAAGAAGAAAACTCGTTTGAATCCCATCTGTACTCGTTGGTACAGGAGGTGTTAAGAGTACAGTATCTACACCCTTTTAGCTAATTTTCCCTTCCTGGAAATATTTCCCTTCATCACAGAGACTCTTTCTTGAGTATATGCTGAAAAGTTGAATCATTAATTCTTGTTTGATGTTCTTCCTTTGCTGTGTTAAACATTACCAGTTGCCTAGAGATAGATACCTGCCAAGTCATGAGTTCATAGAATTTGCTATTCACTGTCTTCCAATGCATAGTTAATACCTGTAGTTATTATTTTTTTATAGTATTGTAATAGTGCTGCTTTCTGCTGTGATTCTATCAAGGTATTCTGGATTGCATACTTTTTCTCTTTCCTAGTACTTAGAAACTTCATGTTTGGAGGTGAACCCCTTTTATCTCCAGGCTTCCACTGAACTCTCAAATGTTACCTTGCTCATTTAATGAGCAGGTGCTGAGGGTCATCACACAGGTGAAAAAAGAGTAATTTTCCCTAGGAAATAACTCCTCTGCTAAAATCTTACTGATTAAACTAATGGTGTTTTTTAGTAGGAGACATCTAGTAACTTGCTGTACTTGGATTCAAGAGTCTAATAAACTTCTAATTCTTTATCTGTTAGTAAATTTTATGTGTCATTTCAACAGCGATGTGGAGTTGTGTCATTATACCTACAGCTTAATGGAAATGTAAAGTCCTGAGATCACAACTGTGGGCAGCACATGAGGTGATCAAACTCCTAAGAGGATGTGATCCTTAACACTCACTGTGGTGGCTCACCAAGCACACACCAGGTGTGGTAGCTAGATGAAACAGTGAAATTGAAGCTGCGGGAGAGCTTCCTGGTGTCCAAAGATGACACTGCTGGCACCCACCCACCAGTTCAGGTTAACCGGATAGGATCGCAGTAGGATGCCAGGTGCCTGGCTCCTGAGTTTTGGAAAGAAGAGCTAAAAATCCCTACTAAATCTTAATTGTCACTCAATTATTTCCACACTCATTAAATCTGTATCTCTCCAGTTTAGAGGAGGATGTTGTAGCAGATCATGTCAAAGCCTTATCCAGAAATCAAGATTTAGTAGGGATTAGGGATGCTGCTGGATGAGAGGCTGGACATGACCCAGCCATGGGCACTCACAGCCCAGAGAGCCAAACGTGTCCTGGGCTGCATCCAGAGCCCTGTGGGCAGCAGGGGAGGGAGGGGATTCTGTCCCTGTGCTCTGCTCTGCTCTGCTCTGGTGAGACCCCACCTGCAGGGCTGCAGCAGCTCTGGGGCCCAGCATAAGGAGAATGTGGACCTGTTGGAGTGAGTCCAGAGGAGGCCACAAAGATGATCAGAAGGGCTCTGATGCTATTAGGACAGACTGAGAGAGCTGGGGTTGCTCAGCCTGGAGAAGAGAAGGCTCCGTGGAGATCTTGTTGAGGCTTTTCAGTAGTTAAAGAGGGCTTATAAGAAAGATGAGAACAGACTTTTCAGCAGGACCTGTTGTGGTAAGACAAGGGGTACTGATTGTAACTAAAAGAGGGCTGATTTAGGTTGGATATAAGCAACAATTTTTTTTAATGAGGGTGGTGAAACGCTGGAAAAGATGGCCCAAAGAAGTTGTGGATGTCCCATCCCTGGAAACATTGAAGGTCATGTTGGGAAGGGCTCTGAGTGATCTGATCTAGTTGAAGATGTCCCTGCTCATTGCAGGGAGTTGGACTAGATTACCTTTAGAAGTCCTTTCCAACCCAAACTACTTTATGATTCTATGATTTTATGATTTTACAGTTTTACCTCTCTAGGACTTCTTGACACTTTAAAGTGGGGAACGCTATCAAGAAATCTTGTGACCCTTCTTCCTGAAAGCCTTCTCCCCCTCCCAGGCATTACAGCCTAACGTGATTAGCAGTCACACTTAGTGCTAATGGGCTAAAAGGCACGCAGTCTATCCTGTTTACTAGACAAGAAAAGAGGAAGTAAAATTTCTTAATTCAGGCTTTCCGGTCTCTGTAAATTTAAAACATCAGCAAACTGGGGGTTATGTCCTAAATAATGTGCAGACTGGGCAGTGGAGGAGTCCCTCACCTTTAAGATTGTTCTGAAATGTAAATTTTAGGTGGGTGTGAAAGAAATAGTTTCTCAAGACTTCCACGTATATTGTTTTGGAATATTAATACTGTAAGGTCCTTTATACTCTGTCCTTCCCACCTCACAGATCTTTCATGCAGATGACAAATATTTTGGTTATGTACATACCATACACTACGGCTTCTTAAAATACATTACTGAGTTCCCTTGATAAAGCAGACTCATTTTGTCATGGTGTTTTGGTTGGTTTTCTTTTCTAAGTAAGCATTTGACACTATTTCTCATCAAGCAACATTGTGTTGGCTTAGTTAGTGTTCAGCCAGGCCAGATTTTAATTGTAAAGGTTACATTTGAAGCATTTTTATGACTAAAAATCACAGTAAAGACACAGAGATCAGTTTTAAATCCTTGAGCAGATTTCTGTGTATGACAGGATTGAACTCAGTGATAGCAAATAAGACAGAGGGAAGAGCTTAATTTCTCAAGAAATTTCTCATTCAAGAAAATTATTATCTTAAATAACAATCTCGTTAACTTAAATTGTGCCTTTTTCTCAGACTAAGAGGGACACCCAGCGGTCGATGAAATTATCACTGCTTCCTGAAAATGATCACTCAGTGTAGAACGTATGCAATGCTTTTTGACTCATAGGAAAGCAGAGATAAATCTCATCAGCTGGCAGCTGGAGTAGCCTCTTGCAGGTGTGCAGGCTCGTGAGGACAGGTCAGGACGAGCTCTTTCTGTGGCAGCTGCCACGCTGGGGCAGTGGCCGTGACTCCTCCGTGCCATTGGTCCCTCCTGCCTGGATCTTAGAAATCAACACCATGATACTGAGCTGTCTCTGGCTTTGCAATGTGCAGTCCTTATTTTCAAGCAGGAGGCCAAGAAATACAAGCCAGTAATTCACTGATTGCTGTTTGCAGGCTTTTATTTTTGTGCCTAATTTCTGCTGTACCTGCTTTCCCTTCTGTACATCAGCATGGCATAGCACAGGTGCTCACCAGGCTGATCTGCAGCATCCCAGGCAGCGAGAGAGAGACCAGCATCCTGATGCAAATACTTCAGCAGAAACGGGAAGTGTTAGAGATGCATAGTGAATTCAGTGAGGGTCCCTCTTCTTAGGCATCTGATAAGGTGTGAAGAAATAAAACCCCATTCTTCTTCATCATCATCATCATCATCATCATCATCATCATCATCATCGTTATCTCAGCACAGCCTGCAGGTGTGTCTGGAGGTGTGCAGGACTCATGTGGTGATGTGTCAGCAGCCTCTGGCACCCTGCTCTGGGAGAGGCTGTGGGGAGCAGGCCCAGTCAGTCATCTTGTGAGTGATAAAAAAGGCAAACTCACGTGTTTGGTGCTCCACACCTGCCTATGGGCTAATTAGAATGCCCTAATTAGAATGACCTAATTAGAAGCGAGTAAAACATTTTTATGAGCTTGCCACTAAGTGTGCTGCAGGCCACAGCTCCTCCAGCACAAATCCCCTGTGCTGCTGCCCTGGGCCCCAGTGGGGCAGGCACACACGGGAGGTGGCCAGGCCAGGCAGAGGGGCCACCCAGACACCCAGAGCCACAGGGGTCTCCTCCAGGCCTGCCTCTGCCCCAAGCTCAGCACCACTGCTCTTTGTCATCTAGCATGTGACAACATGACCACGAACAACATTCTGAGTGTTTTATTAACAAGTATAATACATATGCACTGTATACTAAATATACTACATATACTACATATACTAAATATAGTATGAGGACTGTACAGTACAAATTTATGTTCACAGTTTGACATGACAAAATGTCATTACTGAATTCCCATTGGACTACCAAAGTAGAAACAGTGAAAGTACATTAAACATTCACATCTTTAGTAAGAAAAGATTACCAAAATGTCTCCATATTTGCAAGTTATAGTAATGCACGCTAGAAACCTTTAATTAGCCATTTTGTCTTATTAGCTTATAAAATATATTACATTTTATTTTAAAAATTCTGCATAGTTTATAGACGTATCAAAGTAAATAAAAATCCTTGCTATATTTGCAGGTGAGAGATGCTAAGCAAAAAGATTATTTTGACCCTCTAAAGTACATTAAGTGCTAATATCTGTAAAATATAATGAAAAATGGTCTAGCCCTCTTAAGAGATGTAAAATGCTTTGTAAATTATTTTAGGAAGGATTTGTATTTATCATGTTGCTAAACCCTGGCAGAGACAACATATTTGAACAAGATGTGGCATTAGAAGTATCACTGCAGAATGCCACGTCTATATTTAAATAAATCCCACAAAATTAAAAACTAGTAATTTATTATAATCAAATAGCTTAAACAGGCACATTTTAGTAAAACAGTATTACCTGTTACACACTGCCCAGAGCAATACTGTTACAGAGAAAGGTGTGTGTGTGGGGGGGTGTTTAAATGTACTCATTCTCCAGAATTAGGATTTTCTATCTAAACTGGCTTTTCTTTAGGACATAGATGGAATGACTGGCTTTGCAAAGTATCTAACTGAATATATTTTAAAATTGCGATCAAGTCAAAGTTTGCTAAAATGAACCAATGAGCTGGTTAAGATGTAAATTCACACTCAGACAGAAGTGTATTTGTTTGTGACCTTTTAGTCATCCCACAAAGACACCACAGACACAACTGAAAAATCCTATAAGGAAGACATTATCGTGCAATAATCTCAAATACTTATATTTAATATTTAAATTTCTGTTGTCCTAATTCACAAGACACATGGATGAAATTTGAAAGTCCTGCTCAATCTCCACTGTATTGGACCCCATCATTAGCATAAATACTTTCAGGAAAAAGGTACATAAGCTAATGAATTAACATCACAAATAACCTAGACTAAATTATCTCAAGTAACTCTTAGTTACAAAGAAGTTCTGATTTAAAAAATATTAAAAAACATACTAATGGAAACATTTTATGGAAGCCTCAAAAGAGAAACAGAGCATTAGAAAGAAATGTTCCTTAAACCCCCTGAATTTTATAAATTTGCATTTTTAAGGTAAAAATGGGACCAGTTGCCATTAAGGTGCTTATTTTATAGTATCTGTTTCCCTCCTCATCAACAGAACAGAGAATTGTTTTCATCCCAGGGTATTATATGTGTTGTGACTGATGCCACAGGGCTCCCTCCACACAGTCTCTCAACCAGTGACACACCTGGATTTACAAAATTGCCATTAAATCCTAAAGCAAATTCTGCTACCACTGACCAAAAATATAAAATATAAAGTCCACATTCTGGAACAGCTGTTCATTAATATCAGTCTCTTTCCTACAAGTTTCTCCATGTCCCTAACAATCTGGCCTACCAAGAAAGTAAAAAGAAGGATTCCTGTGCCAGGTGTTTCAGCACCACAGGTGAGCAGATGAGGGAGAGTTACAAGACCCAAGATGCAGCCCTACCGAGGTGGTGAGGATGTATGGAGCTGGAACAGAGCAATTGCTGTCAGAGCATCTTTCTACAGGAAGTACAGACCATTCTTCTCTAATTCCACAGGCATGTGGATGTCAGCAAATCAGCTGGTAAAGTCCCATCACCAAATAAAGGCTCTTTGCACTCACACTCTTGTATCTCCAAGATTGTTTGGCATTGGGCTCTGTTGGTTATAGAAGCACAGGCTACCTGCTCCACAAGCTCAAATATACCCACCTGCAGATGGACACTCCACCTGTCTCCTGTAGAGTTCTATGAAACTCTTCCTCCCCTCACACCTCCATTGTTCACTGGGTTTTTCCATAAGAAAGGAAAAGCCGACTTCAGTATGTTTAACAGGGAATGGTGGTTACCTTACATAGGGCAAGGAAGGGAAACGCACTTGTGTGTGAGTGTAGAGAATACATCCTGCTTCCTTGTAGTGCCACAAAGTCTGCCAGCCAATACTGACAGAAACCTTCCTTGCAGGGGGCTCCCAGACAGGAACATTTCTAGGGGAAACTGCAGATTGCTTGAATTCAGTTTCTTTCAGCTACAGAGTTCTGTTTGCTAATGGGCATGGTTTTAATGCAATAGACACTCCACAGGGAAGCAGCTGTACCTACCATCGGGAGACTACTAGCACCACAAACCAGAGTTAGGAACTGGATGATCTGGTATATGCTTTTATCCAAAACAGATACATGACTCAATTTATTATCAGAAGTACTTCATATCTGATGCCATCTTCTCATAAAAATATTGTGGATCAATAATTTTAAATACTGTAGTGTATACTGTTGTGAGTGGTACTCACAATACAGTTCAGCGCATTTTTGACTTAATGATTGCTATTTTCTGAAGTACAGCAAAGAGAAAAAACTTAGATGAAATGCAGGGGCATGATTGCAGGGGGATAATCTATATCCCTGAAATGAGGTGCAGTAGGTTTCTATGAGTCATTTAATGCTAAATCACAGGAGAGTACCATAGAATCACAGAATCATGGAATATGCTGAGTTGGAAGGGACCCATCAAGATCATCGAGTTCAACTCCTGGCCCTGTACAGGACACCCCAAAAGTCACACCATGTGCCCGAGAGCATTGTCCAGACACTTAACTCAGACAGGCTTGGTGCTGTGACCACTTCCCTGGGAAGCCTGTTCCAGTGCCCAACCACCCTCTGGGGGAAGAACTTCCTGATGGTAACCCCTGACTCAGCTTCAAGCCGTTCCATCCATACACTTGCACAGAAACCAGACATACAGAGTCACACAAAGTCTTCCTTTAACAAATCCACTGGGGCATTATGCAACAAAAACAAGGATGTATACTACACTATAATACAGATGACAGATGACATCGGCTTAGATGGACAGTATTATGTATGGACCAATTCCTGCCAATTTTTCTTCTTGGCTGGGGTAAATGATACTATGACTCAATCTTTCTGTAAAGTAATTACACTGTTTAGATTTATTTCCTCAGTATTACTCACTGTTTGGGCAGAGGGGATTTCTAAATCAGGTGTCTTTCTAAAACTGTTGTGCGATCCACATTGCAGAAATCAACACAGCTGGGAGAGTCCATTCATTGCATTGTTGAGCATAAAATGAGAGTGTATCCCTTACAGGGCATATAAATAATAGTCTCTGGCAAGGACTAGCATTTTGGATATTCGGTAACATTTACTATTTTATCAGTATATGCTGGGTTGATTATATGAAGAAACCAACAAAAGCTGTTAGTTTAAAAATTCCCTTATTCACAAATGAAATACAATAAACATACTGAATGCAGAAAGGGTTTGCTTAGCATCCCCAGAAGAAAAAAAAGAAGTGTTCACATTCTTTAGGTCTGACCCGTGGCAAGGACATAGAAGGGTTAGATAACATGTGTTACTGACCATATGTAAGCTTTTAATGGTATAAACTCAGAGATCCAGACCAGCTGAATCCAAATTAAAATGCATGTGTAAAAAACAATAAAGTGTGGCAGGAGTCAGGGACAGAAGACATTCAGACTAGCATGTGGCGTTTCCTGTGAAGAGCAAGATGGTCCGAGCGTGAAAAGCTGCGGTCACAGTCTGGACACTGGAAGGGTTTGATTCCCGTGTGCTTGCGGAAATGCCGCGTCAGTTCATCAGAACGAGCAAACTTCCACGTGCATCCCTCCCAAGTGCATTTGTACGGTTTTTCTCCTGGAAAAGGAAACACAGAAGTGGGGATTTAAGACATGAACACATCAGTTCTGATCACGTAAGTTCACACATAAATCTGACAGATTTATTCTACTGCCTTGCCAAATTTCAGTAAGTACTTCACTGCTTACTCAAAAAGCCTCCAAACAGATCAAAGCTGAAGAGTACTCTGTGCTAGAAACCGTGTACTGACCAAAAAACTGTTATTTGCCATGACTTATTTTTTTATTGTCTCTCTGCTCCTCTCTCTGCTATATTAGCACTGTTTTGTATTATGAAATCCAGAAGCACGAAGGTTTAAGCATTTGTTCAAGTTTTTTCAAAACCAGGATCTCATTTTCTAGCTTTCTGGGGGAAAGGACTGTGCTACCATAAAGCACAACAGGCAGAAATCTTGTGATTTCTGAAATCCAATGCAGTGTAAATGACTGGCATCACTGTCGCAAGTACCTCAACTTAAACTCTCTCTCTCTATCATTACTAATATGTCATCCTCCTCCTCTAACACCACTGTATTGCCCAACAGATAAATGACTGGCTTGATGCACAAGAGACACAAACTGGGCTCCATTATTCCTAAAGAGGTACCCTTGTAAAAACATTGGATGTATATATATTCATTCAGCATGCAAAGACGAACATTTCTGCGGAGAGCAAAGGTGGGGATATGTTTACTGGAACACTCATTCAGATAAAAAGCACCATTGCACCAGTGGTTAGCATCTCCACAGAGCAGATGTGTTTGCATTTGGCCTACAGTCCAGACTTCTGAAAATGGGTTACTCCCATAGAAATTACAGTCAAATTTAACAGTGATGTCATAGGTGAGCCAGTGTAATTTGAACTGATTTGGTGTTTAGAGGGTGTGCAGACTGAGTAAACTGCAAGCAACTGGACACAAAATGAGTGAAGAGCCAGTCAATGTAACACACATCAGCATGCACTGTGAACCTGTTCTGGCTTACATCTCTTATTGTAGTTTTTTTTTACTACGTCCTCTGTCTTTTGCTCAGCCTATAATTATTTTCACAACAATGCCAGATCTACCTTCTGTCATTTTGTTATTTACATATGTGGTCACCTGGCCATTAGCAAAAGTTACAAGCTTAGCCTACTATTTTACCACAGACTTGATGAAAGAGAGGCATAGCTATGCTCAGACCTGTGTGGGTTCTTCGGTGAGCTTTCAGATGGGAGCTTTTAGTGTAGACTTTGTTGCAGCCTTCATAATCACATCGATGTATTCTGCGTTTTCGTTGTGTGTCTGGAGATTCCACAGGTAGAGGTCTCTTTCCTGGCTGAACTATAACTGAAGGGTGATTCCTGTGAAGTTAAATTAATGTTAAAATCAAAAACATTTGGCACAGCAAACCTCAGCTAATATGATTCATAACAGAGCCTTTTATTCATTACCACTCTGTCTTTTGGCAGAAAGAACAACATTACATGTGTGTCGAAAAATTCAACAGGGTTTAGCAAATTTTGTGTATTTTAGAAGTAATATTTTTAAATGTTTACTCACTTTGTGGCATGATGTAGCCATTTTTACTACTTCCTAGTTCTTTTTTAAAACTTTCAGAAGAAAAACCCCCTTCAACTTTCTGTCTTTCAGTTAAACTAAAATTTCTTAAAACCTGAGTGAACTTTTATTGTATTTGCTCACTATTTTTTTCCCTTTAAATACAACTAATTTGATTGTAATTGGAAACAGCTATTCCATATTATTAAAGAAATTGTATCTTTAGGGTTTCAAAGCAGAACTCAATCTTTATTGTTCCAGCCACTCCTTTAAAATGTAATTAAGAATTTCCTGTTTGGTGCTGGCAGCAGGGTGCGGCCTCCCTGACGTCAATTCCTAAAAGTAGAGCTTACCCTGTGTGGCACACCCACAGGATGTCTGAAGTTGTCCCTCCACCTTCTTAAACATAATTTTTCACTTTAGAGGCCCACAGGTATAGTGCAGGTAAGACATATACAAACTACATATGGACTTCTGCTACAAACAAACCCATAAATGTTCACACATGTGAAAACATTCAGGCTTCTTAAAAGGTGTCTTTGACTGCTGAATGACACTCTACTGCAGGACTGGGGACAACCTTGATTCTTTCTTCCACATCAATCTTAGAAAATGTATGTTTGTCACGAAGGCACGTGTAGAATGTAACGTGCAGATATTAGCATTCCTTGTTGCAAAACCAGCTCCTCCATGCAACAGAAAGGAACTTTCTAGAACTCCTGTCTAAGTTAATGTATTTCACATGTTTTTACCAATTGGTTACTTACTCAAAGTTCCTTTAGGGCCTAATTTTCAGAAACATCGAGTTCCTACTTCTCTCAGCAAAATAAGGGGCATGTGCTAAAGACAGAAAATCTTGTGCATGGCTTAAGAAGAAAGATTTTTCTATGACCTCACAGCGTAGGATGGGGATAACTGATGTGGAGAAAGATGAATTATGTTATTGAGTCTTAAGAGTTAGAAGCTGGAAACTGGGAACCAAATTCGCTTTCTTGGGTGGTTCTGTGACTGTTGAGTGATGAATTCTTCAAGTACACATTAAGTCTAGCTAAAAATATTATAATGGCAGGAAGCCCCAGATGGTGATGTTAGACAGAGACGCACACACTCTTAAATAAGAAGGCAGGCTTCTAGCTTCCAAAGAAACAGCTCTCCAAAGCAGTGCTCAGTTTCAAGACAGCTGCATACCAGTCTTTTTGGAGAAGCTCAGGCTTAGGACAGCAAACAGACTTGGTTTAAATGATTATGTTTGGAGGCTAGTCCTGGACATGATAACATTGGGGAAAAGGGAGAAAAAGGGTATTGGCCCTTTGTGATTTAGATTTTCAATCTATAAGTCTGGAAAAAGCACTGAGAATGTCTTCTCTCCTTATGGGAGAGGAGGCTGGCAAGACAACAGAATGTTATCAATAATCAGATAGGGTGTGGCAGTTTTAAAAAATGGTTAGGGTGGTGTCAAATTTAGAGGTAAATATTAAGTAAGTGCCAATAATAAAAGCACAGCCCTAATTCTTTCGTTCCCTCTTCTACAACTAGATGTAAGTTCATGTATGTCTACCATTTGGCACTCTTCAATAGGTAAGAGTACCTTCTAAAAATCACGTTAAAACTTCAAAAGCTTTTTCTTCTTTACCACAGACCACCCTATGTTGACAGCATGAGTTAGACTTTGAAACTTGCATGAAAATATGTTAATGAGGCTCCTTATACAATTCTTATTACCTCAAGTTTGATTTTAGAAATGACTGAACAGTTAGATCGATTATCAGGCATACTAGAAAGTCCAACCATCCCTCCAGAAATGTCACCAACATTATTTTTATAGATAGACAGATAGATATAGATATCCAGATACAGATAGCTACACCGCCAAAAGCTAACACTAAAGCAAAATAAGTCACTTAAAAGTCTTAAATAAGTCACTTCAGTAAGACTAAAGGTTTCCTATGCCCGTTTAATGTATCTTAAGTGTCTGAATAGTACACTCTGGGCAACTGGAACCAATGAATAGTGATGAAAACTTCAATGCCTAACTATAGCTCATAAACCTGTGAGACAACAACATTTTTTAAAATAAAAGTTCAAGTATCTCATATATTGTGTGAGTTGTCTATATATTTTTTTAATGATAAATAATACAATTTATAAACTTCTTGTTTTGAATGTGAAAGAATGTTCACAGGAGAATGTAAACTTGAAAGGGCTGGCTCCAGGAGCAAGAACTAGAGCTCCACAGGACAGCTACAAAGCAATTTACAATGCAAGGACAGAATCTCCATGAACATCACAATCTACATCAGCAAGTTTGTAGAGGAAATGCTTAGGAAACATGGACATACAAATGTTTTATGTAGCAAAGCTATCTACACATTATACCAAATTCTATATTCCTTGCTCAGTGGATGGGTTTGCTGGGGAAACTACACCCACTGGGAAATAAATAATGCAAATCACTAATGCAGGTGACAAGTCTGCAGAAGTCTCAGCCCTAGAGGAAGGGTGTGGTACCAGTCAGGAACAGCACTTACTGGTTTGCTCTTGTTAAAGAGACTTAACAAAGACAAAAAATAAACTGAACCATTTGATAGTCCTGACCCAGCAGTAGTTAGTTCCAGCTACATAAAGACCTGACTCCCTTGTGTGGTAGGTCCATTATGGAAGGTAAGTTACCAATTAGTAAACACACATTTACTATTTTATGTAATAAACATGCATAAGGTGATTTAAAAGAAACAGCATGTAGTTTATAAAAGCTAGCTGGCAACCAATTGCAAAGAGCCTGCAGTCTAGGAGGTGCATCCAGACTGTTTGAAGACAAGGAGGGGTGCCCACAAGAAGGTTGTTGTGGAATGCAGCCAGCCCAATGGCCATGAGCAGGAGGAAGTGGCAGCGTTCCGGAGGAAATACAGGAGACCCTCCATCCATCCTATGCTTTTCTCTCTCTGAACCATACTCACACTGGGTTTTGAGTGTCTGACTTGAAGCCCTCTTTCCCTTACTCTGTGAGGTGAGGTCAAACACAACCACCTCAAGGATGACAGTGAGCAAGAGGGAGTGCAGAAATGGATTCTGAGGTTTTGTGCTGTGAGCCCTGCTCAGCTCCCAACTTCAGCTCCTGCCAGAGCCACGCTGGCAGCCTGCCTGCCTACCCAGAGCACTGCCTGCTGAAGGATGAGCCTGGCTCTGGGTCATTCCATGGCTTTAGTAAGTTGGCAGGATTTTCCCCAGGAAAAAACAGGAAATGGAAGGGGTGCCCATGGCTCCTCAGGTACTTTCATGAATGTTTTTTTAATGTTTTCAATTAAAAGGTTTAAGTCCCAGACCTAATTTCTTCTTCTAGCCCTTGTCCTTTCTTCTGCAAACAGCACTGTTTCAAAACCCATTAGATCTGTGATCCAGTTCATGCAGAGGCCCCAGTAACAGCTATGCTAACACAATGAGTGTTAGCTGGGATGGAAACAAGTGGCTGTGAGGGAAGAAAGCTTCAGAAAGTACTTGAACTGCTAAAAAAAATCACCCACAGAACAATGGCCTCAGGTAAAAACACAATTTCACTTATATACACAGAACTTGTAAGGCTGAAGAGGTTCTTCCCACCAAGCAGGCAAAATTTTTGAAAAGACAAAGAGGTCCTCCAGGAACAGAAAGTCACAATACTCTTTTTAAAGAAAGGTATTTCAAGTAACATGAATAGAAATATCAGTATGAACTGTCTTCTAAGTTTCTTTCAATTCTGCTGCTGGTTTTAGATAAGTAGGTTATCACTGGCTTATTGGGAGCCCTATTTTCAGTAAATTGTGGAATTGGGACCTATTATCATTTTAGAAATGCATTACAGAAGTGGAAGATCTATTGCAAGGTATAAATATGTATCAACTCCTGTACTGCTGAAGAAGGGGGAAAAGAAAGTTGAAATCACATTTCACAGTAGTGGGGAAGATGAACATGTATTTTATTACATGTTCTGAAGCATAGCAACAATCCTTCCCACTCCTCAGAACTGCTAACTGCTGTACTGAACTGCTTTCCATGCCTCTGCTGATCTTGGGACTACTGTTAGCTACTTACTCTTGCAACATTACTTGCTGAGGAGACAACGAGGTCATCATTGGAGGTGACATTTGTTCAGGATAGAAGTCAGTCTTTGATGGTTCACTTCCTGGCTCTACTTTGATTGTTTTCTTCAGTGTGGGCTTTTCATAAGACTCGATGACAGGCACTGTATGGCAGAGGGTAGGAGAGGGAATGCAACACATACAAATTATGAAGAATTATGGAAATAAATAATATACAGAAAAAAACTATAGTTAAATCCATCAGTTCTACATTTACTGTGGTAATTTACACTAAATACAACATCTTTCAGTTTTAGTTATCTCCAGATGAACTGTGACTCAAAACATTTCTATTAATTTTCATCAGTCCGATGTCATTATCAGTCCAAATCTCAGTAGATCAACAGTTTATGTAGATCAATTATAAACATCTTGTTTATGTACACACAAACAAGAGCAACGGAGAACAAGTCCTGTGAGGAGCAGCTGAGGGAGCTGGGATTGTTTTCCTGGAGAAAATGAGGCTCAGAGGAGACCTCATCACTCTCTACAACTGCCTGAAAGAACAAGAGGAAATGGCTTCACAGTGCACCAGGAGTGGTTTAGTTTGGACATTAGGAAGAATTTCTTCCCAGAAAGGGTGATTAAACATTGGAATGGGCTGCCCAGAGAGGTGGTGGAGTTACCATCCCTGGAGGCGTTTAAGGCAAGCCTGGATGTGGCAGTCAGTGCCATGGTCTGGTTGAAAAGGTGGTGTTGGGTCACAGCTGGACTCTGTGATCTCAGAGTTCTTTTCAACCTAATTGATTCTGTGATCCTATAACCTTGGTAAGTCTGGTAAAATATTTACACAACAAATTCTACGCCTATTTATTCTGGAAGATCAGAAATTACGTTCCACTTCCTAAAATATCAACAGCCCACAGAAACCAAGTGCTGGGATATTTGTCTTATTTTGTGGGGATGAGACAGCATAAAAAGCAATTCTGACAACACCAACCTTGCATGCTACTTGGAGTTTCCATCTCATCTGCGAGAACTGTGGACACCATGATGGGCTGCTGGAGATGGGGAGCATACATGAAAGGAACTGGCTGGACCACAACAGGCTGTATAACCGGGAGTATCCCAGGGCTTCTCAGTCCATGGCGTGAAAGAGCAGCGGCCATGACAGGCGGGATTGTTATTGGCATGGAAAGAGGCTGGACTCCGGGGGGCGACGGTGTGAATTTACTGAGAGGTGAGCTGGGTGAGGACAGAGTCAATCCAGGTGAACTTCTCCTATGCACAGTCTGAAATTTTAGTGGGGAAGGAGAGCTTCCAGTTGAAGGCGGCGAGCTCCGTTTATTTACCGTAAGGTCTACTGGCTCCATCTGGATTCCATTTGATAGTCCTTCAGGGCTGGAGTAGAATTTATTGTGCAACATACTTGGTGTAGAATAAATGACGCTGTATTTGTTTGGCTTCATTTGGTCCATGTAATTGGAGGGGTATGACTGTCAGAAGGAGTGGAAAAGAAATACAAAAAATCAAATAATAAATCAACACATGCAAGCAGCTACTGCTGGAAAAGAAAGGCAGCCAATAAAACAGGCAAAATGAAAGTTTCAAGACAGCACTTTGATGTTGTTTCTAAATAAAACAGAATTAACTAAAGCCTCAGATTCCCCACACAGGAAGTTAATCAAGTTCTGATTCACTAACTGTTTCAGAAGCAATATAAGACAGATTATTAACACACATCTTCAAAGCTTATTCAACTACTTTTCTCTCTTTAAAATTGCCTGTCATATATTCATGCCTGTACATTTCTTAACTGACCTGGGAGACACATCTGCTATGCCAAGCATATAATTATGCACTGAGGATCATCAGTTCTGGAAAGAGGGGAGCTCAGCTGGGCTTAGAATTGCAAGTGATGGGTCCCAATCAACTGCTAAAGCAATTGAAAAACAATCATCACTAAAGAAAGAAATTATGAATCTGAACCCTACAATCAATACAAAATACTCAGCTGAACTATGTAAGTAATGGGTGAGTAACCCAAGAGTGCATAAGGTAAAATCTAAACCTTTCTAAACTATTTTTGAGATATAAAGCAGCTACTTAGCCATTGTAATTTTGGAAAACAAGTACAAGGATAAACATTTGGTGCGTTGGAAAGATGTTTCTGTTAGTGGTAGCTAGCAGTTCCCATTACATTAGAAACCTCAAAGCTAATCTTGACCTATGTGATGATGTCCACAATTTAGTAATAATTTATATATATTATACATATGTATGTACATATGTATTATATATGTAAAACACACATATCTAGTGATTTTTGTAAACCAAGAAGTATTAACATTAACTGTAGGGTGCAGTATAATGAAACAAATATCCAGACCAATACTGTATTTAAAAACTGTTAAAAACTGATGTTGTTTACTAACAGCTAACTCACAATGGAAACTGATGTGATGCTCTAACACAAAAGTGAGACACAGAAAATGCAATGCACACAAATTTTTAGTTGTGTTGTCAACTTTTTGAAATAAAATGCTATCTTTGGATTTTAGGTGGATAAACTAATATTAAGAAACTAATTAATTCCTTGGCATCAAAAGTATTTTGATGAGCGGGATAAAAAAAAGTTCAAAATGGTATAAAGTGAAACATCATAAGTATAAAATGACTGTATTTTTATGAAACTATTTCCATAACACTTGTTTTTATTCCTGGGGTGAACACTTCTGTCAATACATCTTTCTGGTTCCGAAGTATAAAATGACTGTGTTTTTATGAAACTATTTCCATAACACTTCAATTCTTTTTCTTCCTGGGGTGAACACTTCTGTCAATACATCTTTCTGGTTCCCTACCTCTGTCTTCTCTGTGAGGGAGCACTTGGTTAATTTTAAATGTCAATGTTAACTGCAGGTATTTTTGCAAAATGACACAAATGTAATTTTCTTTTTTTCAGTTACTGTTTGAAACACTGAGTTCAGGAAATATTAAATTTTCCTCCTGCATTCATAGCACTGTGATAGAACAACAAAGCTGAGTCCCTCAGTCCATAAAACATTCAAATAAAGAAGCACATAAAATGGTGATTAATCTTGAGACAGTAAATATTAAATTAAAATCTCTGCAAGTTATATATTCTCTTTATGACTACTCTTACAAATTCCGTCTATAGAAACATTCATCTTTGATTGTAATTGGTTCATCAGAATTTTATTAAATACCATTATTACAAGAAGTGCTGTCTGTATACTTCCAGCACTGCTGAGCCAAGCAATGAAATTATTAGCATTCTAAGTGATGGAGACTACTAAATATTGATATAATTTAATATTCATCAGCATTTGGTATCCATTAAATCGGATCAAATTATGGGCATAGCCAAAAAATCAAAATTTTAACAGGTAAGGAACATTAAATACTTCTGTTAAAACTCCTGTTATTGGTTTACAGTACAGAGTTCACCCAGCTTTAAGGAACTGTAAACATTCCACCACTAAGCATCAGTGCATTTACAGTGCTGCAGGTTTGTCAGGGATTATCACAACGTCACTGCCTATGAACTTTTCTTCCACTGCAAGAATGCTGAAAAGGAAAAAGCCTGTGAAACTTAAATCTCCAGCTATGCTTTTGGCCAATGAGTCTAGTAAAGAACAAGCATCCCTAGGTGTAACCTTATCCTGAGAGCACCTGGTGGGAATTCAAGGAATAACTGGATACTCGCACAGCTTCTGCATTCTTTGATGGAGGAACGATGCTGATCATGATTTATTTTGGTGCACAGCCTGCAAAAGGGTAGAAATGCTCCTGGAGACTGGGAAAACTGGTCTTCTGAGATTATGGGCAGCTTCCAGGTAGATTCCCCCCTCCCTGGAAGGGAGGCCAGCAGAATACACCACTGTGAAGACTGGAACACTCACTTTTGGATGGGCGAGTAAAAATGCCAAGATTCAGTCACACACAAAGATAAAACCCTGAAGTAATTCCACAGGTGCTTTGAGTTGTGCATTCTGCAAGGCCAAAGACTGTAAACATTGCTAGCTGAACCTGCTTTTATATATATATATTATAACCCTTTAGACCTCAGTATGTTATATACTGCATTGGCAATACTGAGATACTGTATTATCAATAAATCTAATCATCTTGACCCACATAATCAGTGTCATACTTCTCAGCACCTGACCAAGTCTTCTCTCTGCTACACAGAGAAAAACTGTTTATTCCAATTCAAACAAAAAAGCAAATTGTTTCACCAAATGGCAACTGGTCCAAATGTTTAAGAAGTCCTTTAAGAAGCCCTCGCAGCAAACAGGTAGTCCTGTAGGTAGGACTCGGATGACTTTGTCAGTAGTTCATTAAGAACTATCATAATATATGTTCAATAATTCATTTCAATAAATGGCATGAGCTGTTGGTAGAGTGATGAAATAGTGTGGGTGCAAGCTTCAGTCACCTGAGAAGTATAGTTAATCCTTTCAGCCACACACCCTGAAATACAGTGGTGTCAAAACCATTACTAACTTCCTCCTTCCCCTCCAACTACTGTGATGTTTTAGAGACACACAGACTTTACACCTACAGTGTAAAGAGTACACCTACAATCAGACAGAAGAGTGAGTAATTCCTAAGGGGCTTAATTTAATTTGGCCTCTAATGATTCTATCAGAATGAAAGATGTTATACAAATAATCCTGATTGTAGACTTCCAGGTTATGTTAGCCCAGTCTGCTCTGCTTAGAACCTCTCAATATCACACTGACAGTTTGGCTGCTATCCTTTCCTATGTTCTCTCCATATTACAATACCTCCCTTTAGAGGTGTCTCCAGAGCAGTTTCTGTTGTGGCACCAGGGCTCCAAGGAAGCCACAAGATCAAGAAGATCCGGGGAGCTCAAGGGCTTGGAGCTAAGTAGCCTATGTGTGTACTGAAGCTGAAACACACATGGTCCTCAGCCTGAGGGAAAACAAAGTAGTGTCCAGTGATGGAAACTTCACTCAGAAACCATACTTTCCTCTGGACTTTCTGCTTTTTCTTTTCTGCTTTTTTTTCCCCTTATGCAATGGCAAAAAACAAAACATACAGATGTGGTAAAATGCTCTGAGTAGTCTTTAACAGCTGGTCAGAGTGATTACACTGACTTATGAGAAGACTCCAAAGGTCCAATGCATGGAAGGCACCACATCACTAGGAGAAGGATATGGTACAGAATAACCAATATTTAGAACTCCGGTCTTGAAATGCACTTGCCCCAGACCACTGCACCACCTTCTTCGGGAGATGAAGGCAGGTGTGCACAAAAGGCAGCCCAAAAAACAGCAATGACTTCTTGCTCAGAAATGTCCCCTTGTTCTTTCCACTGCGGTCTTTCCTTCATCTGCTGGTCTGGGAAAGACTGCTCGCTCCTCTCCTGGTGAGCATTCTGAGGGACTGACCCTGCCCATCTGGCAGAAGCACACAACTGTTTGGGGCACTTGTGTGTCTCATGCAGAGCCCCAGACCACTGCACAACCTTCTTTGGGAGATGAAGGCAGGTGTGCACAAAAGGCAGCCCAAAAAACAGCAATGACTTCTTTTGTGAAGAAGTAAAACCAGTCTTTTTGTAAAACCAGTCTCTTTTCTGATTTTAACAGACACCATTAGATAATCTTCGATTATAGCAGATAATCACTACTAATCTTAATATAGCTACACAGTAACTGTGATTAAAGTGACAGACAGGCTGGCCAATACTAAAATTATTTCTTGACCCAAATATTGGAAACCTCATACTTGTACCTCCAGTGACAGTTATTTTTCTATCATTACTCTCCAGAAAATAAACCCTATGAAAGTCAAACTGTAATTTTAAAATGCATATAAACTTAACTCACAGAAATACTATTAACAGCACTGAAGAAATCAGACTGCTTAGAGATGTATTTTAAATTTATGAAAATTACTCTTTATTTTAAATAAAACAGGAAACAAACATTTCATTGAAAGATGCTATTCAGAGTACAAGTTTAATGCACTCTGAGTTATGTACACTGACTTCACCCTTTTAATGGATCAGCCTTTCTAGGGATGTGGTTTCATGTTACAATTAATCTGTTATTGCAAGCTAAAAGCTGAAGGGGGAGGTCCTGTTCTCTGATCTTCACCCATCCCCTTGCACTAATATTGAGCAGCTGCACAGAATGAGTCAGATCAGCTTCCTGATCTGACCAAAAAATGAGTATTTTTGGTGGGTTAGCAATTCTGACCATTCAGTGAGCTGATCCAAAGGTTCCAAATCATTCTAGAACCACACAATTCTTCTCCACCACACAAAGGGAACACAAAGCTGGTATGGAGGGAACAAAGTCAAAACCCTTCCTTTCAGCAGCAACCTGTATCTTCACAATTCTCACTGTACTGCTCCCAACTACATGTCCCACTGCTGTTGCTTATCAGACTCTTTTCTGAGATGACTATTCTCTGAGTTCATGGAAAATTAACCCAATTTTAAAGAAGTGTCTCCTCTTCCCCTTTTTTTCCCACTGTCCTAGTTCTCATTTGTTCCCTTGGTAAAGCAGTGCAACCAGTTTACCCAGCAAAAAGCCATTGTTGGTTTGGGTTTCTGCAGGATTAATTTCCTGCTGTTTAGAGCAGAGCTAGCCACAGCCACCTGTTACCACAACCAAGAGAAAAACAAAAAAAGGCACAGCAAGAAGCTGTTCACTTAGTTCAAGGGTGTAACACTCAAACCACAAGCTATTGCCACTTCACCATGAAGCGTGGCAATTTCATTTCAACCCACCTCCATCAGCAGCATGAGCTACAGAGATGATATTTACAGAGCAGTGGCTCAGGAATACATGGATGCTCTCTCCTCTCATAGGCAACTGGTCAGGTCATTTAAGACAATAAAAATCAAAAAACTACGAAAAGTTTTCCTAGAACGTGAATCTGATTGCACTAAGAGCAAAATATAGCTTCACATGCTTTCCTAAGCTAGTCCAAATCTTAATTACATCTCATGAATTTAAAGGTGGAGAAACTAAAGAGTCATCTTTAGGGCAAATATATTTGAAAAGTCTTACCACTGAAACAGGCTCCATGGCTTCTTGCTTGATAGGGACTGGGTCAAACATTAGCATCTTTTTTATTCACCTTTTCTGATGCCTCTGAGGTTCTGTCCTGCTGGGGAAAGACAAGGTATTAGAAACTCACGGGAAATACCTGAATCAACTTTCTGAATTGTAGTGAATTTACTATTTTGTCAGATTAATGCTAATATTTATCCATCTCTAACACAGATTTTTAAATATATGACTGAATTTATTACAAGTTTTTTCTTTCCACATTGCTATTGAAACAAAAGGACATCTGCTCACTTTAATGAAAGTCAAACTGAATTTTTGTTGTGCGTGTCAGCGCACCAAGACCACAGAATTTTCACTTTCATTAGCTGTCAAGTGTTTTAACACATCACAGTTTAGACCACGCATTTCTCATCAGCATTACAACCTCAGAATAATCTTGTTTATACAAGTGAACTGATTCTGGAAAGGATCTCTCTTTCCTAAGAGTCCCAATAGAAACACTTAGTAGATCACATACAATGAAAATTATATCAATGCAATAAAAAAGATTAAAATTTAAGACTAACTTGGACTACATTCAACATACTACAATGACTTAACAGAAAAAATGCATCAGTTATTATAAGATAATAGATTTACTGACAATTTAACAACTATTTCTGCTAACTGTGCAAAATAAAATCACTTTAAAAAATCTGTTTGCATTCTGTGTAGCTTCAGGTTTTTTTTCCTATACTGTTCAACCTTACTTGGTCAATCTCTAAATGCCTAAAATAAAAATATTTAGCAAAAAGCATGTCAAAGCTGTCATACTACACATTTGCCATGGTAATCTTGGAAAGATACTGGGAGGGAAAGGAGATACCTCTTCTGGGTAAAGCCGTAAGGGTACACAGAGAAACAAAGGGGAAGCAAAGGGAATTTGCTCGCAGTGACACTTAGAGGTTGCCAAGCTGTTTATAAATCACTCGAGGTTATACATTATATGACTGATGTCAAAGGAGCAAGTTCTGGCCATACACCGAAGGCTTCACAGCCCTGCCTGGAGGCGGCACGACCTCTTTCAGGATGCGAGGACAAAAGCAAATGACACAAATTCGGTTTGGCCAGTAGATGGCACTGGAAAGAAGCGAATACAGCCAGACTCCAGCACACGCAGGACAGGCTGAAGGCTCACCAACAGATTTCCCAAGGCTGGGAAATTCTCCCAGAAATGTAAACGAACATTTAAAGACATACCTCTTCAAATTAAAACAATTCTAATAAGCCTACGCTAATGAACAACTTTGCAGTCAACATGCGTTTATAGATTAAAATTTGTTAAAAGTCTACCATTAGTTATTCAGATACATAAATAAAGTTTAAAGACTTGGAAATATATTACAACAGTGTGCACTTTGAATAATGGAAACAAACAAGTAGCAGAGTAAATTATAGTATCTTCATAATTCACCTTATAAAAGTTGAAGGTCTGACAAAAAAATTGCAAAACTAAAGTGAAACAAATTATGCAGTTTAATGAGATTTCCAGTTTAAACTCAGCATGTCGTTTTAGTATGGGAGAAGTAGTAAGATAGCACTATGTGCTGAAAGTTGTGGTAATTCTGTAAATACCTTAAGCACGTTTGTGAGAAGGTTATTAATTATACTATTTTCTTTGAATGATTATCATTTAGATAACTGCTACCTAGTTATCTTTTTCAGGTTTCAACAAGCCACATAGCTAGAATTAATGGTTCAGAATACTGACTTCCCAGAAATATATCCACATATCTATGCATCAACCATATTCTCACACATTCATCTGCATTATGAAAACAGAGAAGTTGTACTTTTAGACATGAAAAAAGTTTACAGTAAAATTGAGCCACTCAGAGCTCCTATATAGGAATTTGGAACTAATTCCTTTCAGGTTTCCAGAAACTTTTGATTTTTAGCTTGTATGTGCATAGAAAAGTAACATGCCAATTTGTACTTTAGTGAAGGAAGAAAGGAGAAAAGAAAAGAAAGAAACAGAGAAAGGAATGGGAGGGAGGGAAGGAAGGGAGGGATCTAAGCAAATGTAATGATGCTCATCCTTTGTGTAATTTTTGTAATTATAAAACCATAGATTCTTCAGTTTAAGAATTACTCCTTTTAACCTTTTGCTCCAAGAAAGTGTGTGAAAAGACACTTGATACACATTTCACATGTCACGCTCCAGATTTCAGTGTTTCCTGAGATAGTCTAAATCACTGTGCAGGAATTAAACTGACATAGACAACAGGAAGTGTACTACCCTGAACAAAAGTGAAAAGTAATCCTTAATCCTTCCTAAGTGCAGTCATCTAAGAACAGCAGAGGAAAACTTTACTTTTATATAAGTTTACTACGCTGCACTGAAGTATCAAGCACTTCTTTATCATGTTACTCTTAAGCAGGTTTCTTTTCCCCATTTTATAGTGACTGGAAACCAATTTTCAAGAATGGAAAATTAATTAAGATGCAACACTTGGTCCTGTAGGACTGCTACAGAGTCAATATAAATCAGCTTTGGATGTGGTGTTTAAAATTTAGCTCTAAATGATGTATTTCTAAGGCTGTAAATAAAATCACAAAAGACTCCTCTTTGTATTTAAAAATAATGCTCCAATATGATAGCTTGGACCACACATGGGCAAATACGTGCATGTACACTCACATAAATAAAGCATGGTACTTCTACTAAGAAGCAGGCAGAGTTTTTCCCAGTGTATTTGTAAAATCATGCCTATTAACCCAAAACTTCCTAGTCCTTCTCTCCTAAACATTTGAGAAGGGGGCAATAGGGAAGGTAAATATCTGTTTTTATCTGTTTAAAACAGATAAAACCAGTTTTATCTGTTTCTATTACAGAGGAATGAAAAAACAGTTGGGTTCTACTTTACAGAGTGATTTCAGAATCTACTTGTTTGAAAGCCCGCAAATTGTTTGGTATATACAAATAATTTCTGGAAAATCAAAATACCAACCTCTCATTCCTGAGGGGCTCTGGAAAAACTAGTGAGGTAACAATATATTCATGTTAAATGTATTAAAAAATGAGAACTTTTGTCTTTGACTTTATTAGGTAAACTATTTTGCATTAAAGGGTTTTCTCATGTGAGGTAAAAGAATTTAATATGAATGTAATCTGAAACTAAATAATTAACTGCAATCCGGTAAGCAAACATTCCACCCTCTTTTTTTTTGCTCTCTCTCTTTTTTTCTGCTAACAAGCCACCCAGTTTTACTTTCTTGCCTCCTCCCTTTCACCCCACCCTGTGGATCTCTGCCAAGTCAGTCCAACTTGTCCAAACAGGACCCGGCTTTTGATAAGATTTCGCTCACGCCCTGTACTTCAGAAAGACAAATGAAGCAACTGGGCTTTGTATGCAAATAAGGACAGGTGCAAGGTAAAGTCCAGGCAAAGTCCCTCAGTATTCCCCTACCTGAAGTCCAGTGAAGACAGCAAGTCAAACAATACAAACTCTGCCCTTATGATCCTATATACAGCAAGGCATCCATTCCAGAAGAGAAGTTCATTATCATTAGAGCCCATCACCTTGTCAGGATTGAACACTTGTCAATATTAACTTCCTGACAGCTGTATGGTTTATTGTTTCAGAGAGATAATTAAGATTAAATGAAAGCTGAAAGGTACTTAAATGTGTATTCTGACAATAAGGGCTTGTATGGATTATTTACCCTGGATGAAATGTGAAAGTGGTTAAAGAATGCACTCAGTCTACACATCTGTACTGCAGAGCAGCTGGAAAAGGGCAACTGCAGTGCAGCTACTCCCAGCAGCCCTGCACATCTACCTTCAAGGTCCACCAACTCTGTTATGAAAGGAAAGGGTGGGGTGGAGGGCCAGTTTTGACTGTGCACATCCAACAACAAAGGTTTATTCTAATATAAAGCCTATGCTCTCATTAAATACCTGGAAGAGAAGTCTGTGACTGACTTTTGCTGCAGACAGGGGGGTGGTGACCATACATTCTGCCCTCTCCACTCTGCCTGAGAACACATACAGGGTTTATTTCCTCAGTCTTTGTGCCTGGGGGAAGCAAAGGAATGCTGCCCCACTTACAGCAAGTCTTTATCTAGAAGCTTCAAGGTATGACTGTTATTGTCACTATAATTACAGAATAATGTAATGGTATCTGCTAAATTAGCACTGCATGAGTGCCCTCTGCAAGGAACTGCAGCTCTTGCAGCACTGTTTGAATCCAGCAGCAAACATTATCATGTTGCAAAGGCACTTTGGGACTCAGACCTGTTGCTCTGAACCTCAAGTCAAACTTCTCTGATACAAGGGAGAAACAATAGTATCAGAGGATTCTCCACTGAGAAAATCCAAAAGGGAAGGGAGGTTTTCTGAACCCAGGTGAAAAATTGTCTTCAGTGAAACCTGCAGAGTCTGACAGAAAGGAACCAGTTTCTGAGACAAACATTCCATGGGGAAGGTAAAAAAGCTGTTTTCCAGAACTCATAAAGTATTTGCACTTTACTGTACCATTGCTCATCAAGACCTGAGTCAGCAAAAAAGTGTTTCTAATGTTCCATTAACTTTAATGGGACGTAAGCAAGTGCTCAACTGCACTTGACCTCAAAATAGCAGCAGGCAAAGAAGCTTTCCAGCTCACACACCAGTCAGACTCAGCCAAAGCACCAAAGATCCAGAGGTGGTGCTGTGGGAAGAGACCAGAGCAGCCAGACCATGAGGAACAGAGCAGAAGGAGAATCAGGAAGAACCAGCACGCCAAGAAAATGTTCTACTGATCAACAGCTTTCTGTGTTTATTTGCTGGATTTCCACTGGGTAACAATAATAATTGTAAAACAAGTTAGATTTTTTTTGTAAAAGAAAATGGCACCTACACAATTTTTTTTTTCCTCAAAGTTTTATTGATAGGCATTAAGAAAAAGAGGATTTCTACAGAATTCTGGTATTTAGTATTTCAAACTTTATTTTTTTCTTAGCAAAGACTTGAAAATCTTTTATCTTCCTCCTTTCAGGACTGCAAGCAGGCTGAAAAACTTGTGGTTTTGCACAACTTGTGCATCATAACTTTGTGGATGTCACCTTGTTTGACCTAGAACTACTTTGACATGTAGCACACTAATCAGTACTTCAATTAAATTTCTGATAATACTGTTGCAGGCTCTTTGAAGCCACGTGTGTGGAAATGGCTTTCTTGTATGTAAAAATCTTGGGGGAAAATGCTCTTGAAGTGCTTATAAGAAAGTATCTTCTTTACTAAGGAAAAATTGAGCCCATATAAACCCTGTTCAACCTTCAATCCTATACTCACTAAACCTAAGAGGAGAACCTCTTGAGGCACCTCCATTAGACAATATTCTCCCTTATCAGGGCAGACTGCTGTCTGGTTTCCTGTCTCAGGCTGCTTCTTAGAAGGAGAAACAGTCTAGAGTAAGGATAAAAGATCAGACTTTTAAAAACAAATGAAGTATGTGGAATGGTATGATAATCTTTCCCTTCCAAACTGAGCTCCGCTTTTCTTGTTGCGTTTTTCTTAAGAGGTTAATTTTTAAGGTAATTTGAAAGAAGAAATATTAAACCTTTTAATTGTGAGGGAAAAATGACAGAAAATACTGTTCTCTTACGTGAAGGGTTCTGCTATTTCAGGAAACGTGAAAAAGAGATTCAACATTTTTTATAACATGGGAAAGGAGAAAGAAAATCTAATCCTAGGGAAAGGAAGTATGCATTTATGAGTAATGATAGATTTGAACAAGAATCCGAATACAGGGCAAATGGTGATGAACTTCTACGAATCTATGGAAATGAAAAAAAAAACCAGCTAGGGAAAAGAGGTGGACAGTGTAGGGGGTACAAATGTTACAGCGATCAAAGCAACTCAGACTCTTTAAAAGTGGAAACTCTGTCATGTCTTCATGGATCAAGTTAGTTGGCTGGTAACACACATGGACTGCATGACAGACAGACATTGCGTTTGGTTGGAGGTTTTTTCCCTTCTGAGTTAGTTTACTATTTAAAACCTGTTGGAGCTTTGTCTTTCCATTTGCTGATCTGCACTTACACTTCCTTCCCCTGGGAGATATCACCTACAGCTACAAAACCCTCAAAGGAAACTTTGGCATCAAGTGAATGCTTTGCAGGGAAGAGTTAAATCTCTCCTAAAACCAGCTCTGCCAAACTTCATATTCTGGATTGGAAGCAACTAGCCTCGGAATGAAAACACAAAGATTGAATGCTGACAGCATAAAAGAACTCTAAAAGACCTCCTGTTAGCGGTGTTAATTAATATTTAAAAGTTGGTTTACAAAAATTATTATAATTTTAACCTCAGTTCCCTATTTTACAGAACTTCTGGCTACAAAAAGGTGTGAACCACAAAATTTACTGCATTTATTATACAGCAGTTTCCAATATTAAACACAGTTAAATGCAACTCTTTTCCTCTGTCACTGGAAAAAAAAGATTAACTGTTTGAAATCTTGGGCAAATTAACAATACAAGAATTAAAATACATAATTGCATTCTAATGGATAAACTCATCCATGGTGTTCTAAAACAAACAGAAAAAACAACAACATAAAAACAACTGAGAGCAACACATTAAAATGATCAATAAACAACTTACCAAAACTGTGTAGCCAAATACTTCTTTTTATCTGGATTTCTGAACAGACAAAAAACAGTTCACTGTTAATATGTGCACACAATCCAATAAAAGTTTTTTCACATACAATTAAGCTCTGAAAGAAGTTTAAAGTGTGTACTTCAGATACTTCCTAAAGATACCTTCAGTGATCTGAAACAGCTAACTTGTAGCATCCAGAAGAGCAAGAGCAGGAACTAAAAGACTACTTTAAAAATGACCGGAGGGGAAAAAAAAGAGTAAAATGAAAGGGTGGCAGTATTTCTGTGTGTACAGTAACCATGCATATTCTAGCCCGTAAGAAACACAGAAGAATAAATACTCCATCTTGCATTTTCATCTAGTGCACACTGAAATTAATGCAAGTTTTTCCTCTTGATTTCAGTGAGCTTTGGCTGGGGTCCTTTAGCTCTGCTTCTGTCAGATTCAAAGTTACAGAAAGATTTATGTTTTTCTCAATTTCCTCTCAATTTCTCACTATGTCTGCCTGCAACAGGGTGAGGGGGAAAGATAAAGATGAAAACAGGAGTAAAACAATTACTTTTATGCCTTCAAAAATGCAAAATGTACTTATTAAGCAGTACAGGGACAGCAGTACTTATAAATGCCAAAGAAAAGTTAGACAGCAGTGCCTTATTTTCTGTATTACATCTAGAAGACAATGAACCTTCTAGCCTGTATAAGGGGAAAATACCTACTTCTGAGATTTGGAAATACACAGTGCTTATAGAGAACCATTCAGGTTGAGTAAGGGCTGAAGTCAAAACCCCCTCACAACTATGAGCCTACAGAAGTAGACTTTCTTCTCCCATATACTCTTTATACATCAGTGCAACTCTGTGACTTTAATGGAGCTATTCCAAATCAGCTGATGAGCAAGTGAGAGCAGAAAACTGGCTCACAACTTTCTGGAGACTTGAGTTCAAGTTTTCAGCGAACAGAGCTAAAAACTCCAGTTCACCCCCAGAAGTGCACTGGAGTGGAAGGGGCGTGTTAAAGGTTAACTTGGAAACCTCGTTATGACATAACACAGGCATCTTAAGCAATCCTGAGTGTGTAGAGACATGATAACTCATCGGGTGGGGATTGGAAGTTGAGGGGCAGTGACAAGGGGCCTGGACGAGGCTACCGAAGTGCCAGAAAACAGCCTGAAACAGGAAAGAGCACCACATATGCCACTTGGAATGTGTGACGCAAACCCCAGCCTTGAAACAAAGAACAGGAAACAGCTCTGCTGGCTGTGCTGGGGAGAAAGCACAGAGAAACATTTAGGCGGCCCTCCCTGACCCTATATTCATGAGCAGCTGGAGTCTTTTAAAACAACAACAGTGGGTGGAGGTGTTTGTTCATTGGGTGTGAATAAAAACACTGTCCTTATGCAGGGGACCTGCCCTATTTACAAACAGGCTCCCTTAGCATGAGGGAGCAGGAGGTTTTAAGACACCACAGGTCAGGAGGATTTGCTGAAACCTTCCCTTAGACCAGTTGGTTTATTACTGTATTTATGCCAGTAGCTAAACAGAGCTCGGGCTTCATGACATCAGAGGCAGCACCCAGCCTGGCAAAGCACCTTCTTCCCAGAGAGAGCTGGGGATGAGAATTGCAGGAAGGATTTCTAAAGCTTGGGGCTGCTCCTGGACAGTGGCTCACTCATGCTCAATACTGCTCCATAGCTCAGGACCAACGTCACTCAGAGCACACAAGAATATTTTTCTAAGCCATCACACGCTTCGCCTAACACATCCCTGTTTTCATATGCACTTTATTTCAGAATCTGATTTCCCATGAATTTACTACTTTCATTTTTTAAGCATCCACAGATAAGGCTGAATAAATGAAGTAAGCTGAAGCAGAGGAGCAGCACAACTTGTCTAGATTTCATGCAGTAGATTAACTTCAACACTTGTTTTCCTTCAAAGCTGTGGTTTAGAATACTCTCTCTTCTCTTAGATACCTTGCATTGGTTATTTATACACCATGGACATCAAATATTATCAAATGTGAGAATGCTACAGCAAATTCTGTGGATGAGCACCACAGCAACGCCAATGAATGCTGCAGGGTTCCAAGGCTGGAGTTTAATAATGAACATGGGGTAAAAACTGGCTAATGCAGCATCTACACAGCAAGGTGTGGGTTTTACACCAACAGCATCAGTTCCTTACTTCTTCATACTGAATAACTGCAAATATTTGTAATTTGGTGATTGTATAATATCTTTATTATCACTGAGTCTTCAACTCATCTCACTCACACTGACATCTTTATCTGTAGGCTTTTGCTTTAGGCTAAACAGATGGTGACTAGGTCAAATGTTCACAGTACCTAAGGGCTCCCTGGCAGCTCTGCAACGTAGAGGAACATCTTTATTATCACTGAGTCTTCAACTCACTCACACTGACATCTTTATCTGTAGGCTTTTGCTTTAGGCTAAACAGATGGTGACTAGGTCAAATGTTCACAGTACCTAAGGGCTCCCTGGCAGCTCTGCAACGTAGAGGAAGTTCTGCTTGGATTCTTAGGACAGGGAAAGACCATTTAGCATTCTTTCCTGCCCCCACCCCTCGCCCTTACCCCCAGTCTCTCTTGTGCTCCTCTGTACCATAGCTATAACAGCATGTGCAGGGAAAAAACACCCAGAAACATTTGCCTGCTTGTGAAAAAAAGGCTACTCAAGTCAGCTTCGGGTTTTTTATATTTTGATACTAGACAGTAACAATAAAGTCTTAAAAATATGAGGTGAAAGTTAATTTGAAATACGTGTCTTCTGCGTTAGGTGAGATTATCAAATCCAGATGCAATTCCTCTCACACAAGCACCAGCTACTCGTATGATTATCACACCAGTATCTTAAAAGTATTTGATGGAAAAGTCACTAGTTAGCAGCCATGTAAGTCTTTCTTTTCAATACAGGTAATATATGTTTATTAATATTAGTTTAAATGAAGTCAAGTCTTCAGAGCTCTCCTATCAGCCACTCACATTCAGCTTTTCCCAACAATTAAACCTTTAGAGTTCAGTTCCACAAACAGGGTCACTTCCTGAATTCTCAAAGGTGAGGAAGTGAATAAAACAGTGGACCATGTATGTACAGTACCTGAAGCAAAAGGGAAGTGCACAAAACATCTTTAAGACATTTTTAATGTAACTCCTGAATGACCACTTAAGCTATTCTGACCTAGGTCTTTCTCCCAAGCTCCAGGCAGGTGCTGTGATCTCCCAGCGCAGGCTCGCGTTGCTGAGCCTTCCTTTGCCAGAGCTGCCCTAGCTGTGCCAGGCACTCACCTGACAGCAGTCCAAGGTAAGTAACTCCTATTCCCATTTCGGTTAAAAACAAATAAATAAACAAAAAATTAAAAAAAACCAACCAAACAAAAACCCACAAAACCCAAAACAAACAAAAAACCACCAACAAAAGACATCTAGCTAAGGAAAGGTTATTTCTAACTCCACACTTCGCTGCTGTGCTGTCCCACGTTTTACCTTCGCCTGCATGGCGGCCAAGCGGTGCTAAGGTGACGTGACAATAAGAGGGGCAGACTTTCGGGAGCCCATTTCATCCTAGACTTCAGCAGGAGTTAAACGGGGACATGGCGCTCGCCGGTCCGCTCCGCGCTACGGGAGGAGCGCGGCCCGAACGCGAGCCCCTGCCCTGGCATCCAGCCCGTCGCCCGCGGAACCGAGCGAGCCCGCTATACCTTCCAGCTCGGTTTGGCCGGGCGCTGTATCCCGCCCGGGATCCGATGGCACTTCGCTCTCTCCCCGAGGACGCGCCTGTGCCGCCCGGCGAGAGGCCAGGGGCTGCGGCCGCGCCGGGCGGGAGAGCGGCCCCGAGGGGCGGGCGGCCCGCGGGCCCTCCCGCCGGGGACAGCGGGGGAGGGCGCCGGGGAAGTCGCCCCCCGAGCGGCCCCGCCGGCCACACAGGTGCGCTGCCCGCCCGGCGGCCCTCCGCCCCCGGCCGCACAGCGACATTCCCGGGCGCCACGGAGGGAACCCCCGCGGCGAGCTCTGTTCCCCCTTCGCCGCAACTGCGGCCTGACGGAGACCCGCTTCCCGCCGCCCCCGGCGTGCCTGCGGCTCCCGCGGCATCACCGTGCCGCCGTGGGCTCCGCGCTGCTCGCAGCGCCGGGAAACTTTCCTCCTCCGGCACCTCCATCCCGCAGTCAGCCCAGCCCGGCCCCCGCATTACCCCCGCCCTCACACTTACGCTCGGCAGGCGGTGCGGAGCGCGCCGCGATTTTCCGTCGGCTCCCGCAGCGCGGTAGGAGCGGAGGCGCTCCGGTGGGAGCGAGGTGCGAGGCCGGCGTGTCCCGCGTCCCCGCGGCTAAGGCGCCTCGGCGGTGTCTCCGGGTCTGTGTGCGAGGAGGAGCTGCCCGCTCCCGCCCTCCGCCGCTCGCCTTCCCCCCGGGCTCCTGGCACCGGGCCGCGCTGTCACATGACGCCGGCGCCGCTCGCCCTGCCAGGCTCCCCGGGCCGGCGGGGTGAGTGGCGGTGGGAGCGTCACGGCAGGGAGCGCGGCCGGGCGGGTCCCCGCCCGCGGGGTGGAGGCTCCGCCGAGGGGCCGGGGCGAGTCACCGCTCACAAACAGCCGGGCACGCACTGACTGCGCGCCCGCCCTGCCTCCCGGGGGCAGACAGCCTCGCACAGACACTAATTATCCCCAGCAGCCCGGGGAGGAGAGGGGAGGGGAGCGGGGCCGCCCCACCGACAAACCTGCCCGGCCAGCTCCTCCTCCCCGCCCGTGTGTCAGGCAGAGGCGTGCACCTGGCAGCGGCCCTGCGGCGGGGCGCACCCCTCCCTGCTCCCCTCCCTCCGCGTCCACCCCGGCCGACCTGCGGCGGCAGCAAAACAACAGCAACACCCAGCGCTCGGGGGGAAGGAAGGGAGGTGCTCACGCTGGGCCGCTGCCGCCGAGCTGGCTTCGCCGGCGGGGGCTGGGAAAGGGCGCGGAGCCGGGCGGCGGCTCCCCGGCCCTGCCGCCGCGGGCTGCCCCGGGCGGGGCGAGGGCGGGAGCGCGGCGGGCGTGGGGCAGAGGTGTCGGCCCGGCTCCGCCCCGGCTTGGCGGCTGGCCCGCCGGGACCGCCGGCTGCTGAGGCCCGTGCCGGGGTGGTTTTTACGGCTGCGCTCAGCCCGTCGTGCCTCGGGTGCGCTCCCGCCGGAGCGAAAAGAGGCTGGCGGGGAGAGGCGCTGCCAGCTTGTCTCGACCTGACCCTCATCGCCAGAGGCGGCGATCCCCTTCCTCCCTCACCCGTGCCGCCCCTGCCTGCCCAGCCTCGCGTCCTGCACCGCCCGGGGCAGGTGTGTGTGCGGGACCCAGCCCGCCCCTCCTGCGGGCTCCGCTGGCCGCGCTGCGGGGCGCTCCCGCACGGCGGGGGTGGCTCTGCCCGGCACTGCCCTTGCTGCTCCAGACTGCTCAGCGGAGTGCACTGCCCGCGCCCTCTGTAAAATAACATGGGAGGAGGCACTTACAGCCACAGAAGACCCAGGGACTTCACTGGGAGCAGTACGTTAAAAAAATGTATCTTGGCGGACTGTATCAGTTCCACTGGTTAAGGAAAAGCGCTGCCACTTATTTACTGGAATAGAGTGTGCTTACGGTGGTTGTAGTGTGCCGTATGAAATCGTGTTCTCACTGATGTACCTAACTATGAGACCAAGGAAGAGGCAGTTCCAAAGCCCTGTCCAGTGCTAATGGCATGGACAGATGAAAAGCCAATTATACTTCTTGTGGATAGACAGGTTATCCTGCATGTCTTCATTTCCATGCTTTGTTTTGTGGGTAAAGTCACTTGAAGGGGGTGAGAATTTCTGGCTCTGCAGGACCAGTCTGTATAGGACCTAATAGGACCCTATAGGTCTTAATAGGAACCTGTATAGGTCTTAATAGGACCCTAATGTAGCATATCCATTTTTATGTTTGGGTTACAATTTCTGTTCACTGTGATTCTTATTGACCCAGTTGATAATGCTGTAAAAACAAAGCAAAGAAGGAAGGGGGAAGGATGGGGAAAGTATTTTCAAACACACGGCTGTGCACGCATGTTCAGACGATGTCTTTATTCCTAGGATGTTTTAATAAATCCCTTTACTTAGCTTGCTAGTTGGTATAGCTTTAAAAAAGCAAATTAAGACACCAATCTGAAGCCCTGAAGGGTATGACTCAGTGACATAACAATAAATTGTAATATCTCCTGCTAAGTAATTACACCATATCATGTCACAACAAGGTATTGTTGAAATACTATCATGTAGCTCATAAAGTGTTGTTTTTTTATTATAAGCCTATAAAATAAACAGAATGCTGTGTTACACACATGGGCACAAAATATTTCATTAGGGCTGTGAAAAGGAGCTGCTGTAGCTTTCTTGCAGGAACATGCTCGAGATAAAGTAGGTATGTCCCAGTTTGCATTCTTTTATTCTGGGAACTAGCAGAAGTTAAACAGCTAACTGAAACCCTTAGGTCAGAGGCAGAGCTGTTCTGATGTCAAATTGTGAGAAATGCCAGAATACTTAGTAGTAGCCAGCATGCTGCTCCTGGTGAAGTCACTGGCTTTTCTTGCATTTTGTTTTGCCTCAGATGAACCTGTTATAATCTGCTGTAATTTTACTGTCTTCTTGTGAAGTGGCAGAGGAGAGGGAGAATTGAGAATGATGCTTTTGCACTGTCAAGACTGTATAGCTTTCAGGATTTTGTTGCCTTCCTGTGTTTGTTTTTGGCAAGTCCAAATTCTGAAGGGAGCAGAATCTTATTTATTTTAGTGGGAATTGAAAAACCAGAAGGGAGAAGCTGGAAGCAGAGAGGGTCCTTGCCATCTGGTTAGCAGACCCAGCAGTTTTAACCATGCCTGGAAGTGTTTCTAGATCAAAGGACTGGTTGATGGCAGCCTTTAACATCTTCCAGCACAACACCTCTTCCATCTCTGCTCTACCCATCATCCCCACAGAATGACTTCTGTCTCAAAACAGAAGGAAGAGGAGTGGTATGAAAGTCCTTGGTATTGAAAAAAAGAAAGAATGCTGCTTGGGTGTCCTGTGGTTTGTAGCACCTGCCATGAGCCCTTGCAACAAGATGGAGCATTTCCCATGATGGGGACTTGAGCATCCATAATCCAAGCATTAGGAAGAGTGTTGGCAACATGTTACAAGTTTCTGATATAAGCAGACAGGAGGTGTTACCTAGAGTGTGTTGAGGGGAACGTATGGATATCTGGTGTGAATAAATAAGTATTGAAATGTTAAATGAGTGGGTATAATATGTTCAGATGTCTGTTGAAAGACCAAATCCAGCCATTTGTTGAAATGAACCCTTGCTATATTCAGCCAAATTGCCACTGTGATAAATGTGATTGTTCTGTCACATTTCTGACATATTCTGCTTCCCAAAAATCCATTTAAAAAGAAAGGAAATACTTAAGAATTCTGTATACTTTTTCAGTCCTTAATTCAGCTTCAGGTTATGAGGTGAATTGGAAGTAGTCTGCTGGATCCAAGCGGTACAATTGTTAAGCTGGCATGTCTTCCAAGTTGTTGTGTGTTACAAAATGTACTCTCTATATAGTCAGTGAATGGTATGTATGCAGGGAAAATGTCCACTGGAACCAGTGGGCTTTTTCCTTAGTCTACAGATGTATGTTTGAGGGGTTTGGATATCTGTGTATAAACTTACTGAGTTCTGCAGAGTTTCAGGTCAGATAGACACCTCATACATCTCGTACTCACTGAACAGCTGCTGGAAGGAATGAGGGACAGATCACCACATAGCCAGCAATATTCATTACTTTTGTTAAACACAGTTCACATTTTGGAAGAACCGTAAATTTTACACTTAAAATGCTATTAATTTATTGCATACCGCAAATGTTTAATCTCCACAGTACAGCGAGGATGCATGCTATAAGTCCAAGTTGTTAAAAGCACAGAAGTTGAGGCAGTAAGAATTTGAATTGAAGCTTGAATTACTTAAAAGCTTAGGTATGTTTATGCTGCAGTGATGTACATACCTGAGCTGGTGTAAAACTAGTCAGCTGGGGAACTGGTAGGAATCTGGCTGTGGCAGTGTGGACCCTGTAGCTATCTGGAAAACATGCCCCAAAAGCTGGGTAAATACTTGAGTGGTTAGGCTGGCCTGAACTGAATGGCCAGACTACTACCAGTGCCCAAGACAAGTAATTTAAAGCTTGCCTGGCAGTGTGTCCACAGCATTGCAGTCACATCACTTGTGACTAGCACAGACATACCCTTCTGTGAATTCTGTGACTCAGCCTTGTCTTCTGGCAGATGGTTCCCAAGCTCTTCTGGGAGTTCTGTGGCCAGTATCAATTCAGTGGTCCATGGAAAGGCCTTTGCAGGTATTAAAAACCCTTCAGCACAGCATAAGATGCACCTTTATGGCACTGAAACGTGCTGTGTTGTAACGGTGGGCTCTCGTAGCCACGGGAGCAGCTTGTGAGTCAATCTTTGTGTTTGCATAATTGGGTCCTTCTTGTTTGCTTGGGGCAAGGGCAAGGCGAGGGTGAGTAGCCAGGCTTCCTGGCTCTGTCACGCAGGTGTGGACAAGAGGAAACCACTGGAGGAGCTTGGGCAGAGCTGGTATTGAGGTGCATGGGGCCTAGGGCAGAGGCTACTGTGTGAACCCCTCCCTGCCTCTCTCCTGCCCACACAGGGATGACAAATCTTGCTGCCTGACCTAGCCCAGGTTCTTCCTCCTGCCTGTCCCTTCCTGTGGCCCATGGACCAAGACAATTACTGTAGTTCCTCACCCTGAAATGAATTCACATTTTGTGCAGAAACAAATTTCAAACACCACAACACAAGGTTCTTCTGTGTTCACCACCTCACACAAGGAAAGGACGGATGGCTGCTCTTTCTAGTTAAAACCAACAAGTCACACATGACTGCTTTTAACAAAGATCAGTTCTCTGAGGGCCAGCCCTCAAGCCCATTGCAGCAATCAGAATTACAGAGGCAATTTGTGGGGACTGGGATGTGTGTCTATTGAATTTCTTGTCATATGTTGATGTTTTTAAGAACAGGCATGATTTTGTTGCAGGTGTAATGACTACTGAAGGCTGCTAAGCTTGAATTTCATTATTTGAAGTGTAGAATAATGGTTGAATTTAGTAGTGATGCCCAAGATGTGGTTGAGGGACACTTGAAGTTTCCATAGCAGGAAGAATAACAACAATTTTGGAAGCACAGGCAGATACATATGTGTGAAGATTGATGGATTTGAGACCAAATCTTCATCAAGGATATGCTGATGTGAACGCACGACGATGCGTGGATAATGTTATAATTGAGAATGACCTTGAGTAGGTGCCCTGTTTCTTAATACTGTTCTTGAG